CAGTCCACGATAGTTACTCTTAAAGGTGACATAAGATTCCTCGTTAAAAGCCTTCTAGTTCAAAAAAAATAAAACTTTTATAACATGGTCCCTATAGGGACCAAAGGGCAAGAAAGGGTTAACATATTATACAGGTGACTGTGAAAATGGTGAAGATGAAGAACATTGTTTAGAACTTGAAGAACATGAATGTGATAGTAAAACACAGTCTAGATGTAAAAATGGTTTATATATTGATAAACACTTTTTCGTTGGTTTAGTTTTTGATTGTCTTGATTGGTCAGATGAAACTGATAAAAGTTAATCGGTGGCTACTGCGAATCTTAAATGTGCAACTGAGCCATCGATGGAATGTGAAGGATATAATTGTGCATGGTTAAAGTTTTCATGCAGCGATGGTTCATATCAACAGCAGGTTGTACAAATGAACGTACAGAAGTATATGAAAAAAGGATGCTTCGGTTTGATGAAAATATAAATATATTGGATAATATGAGTCTAATTTGTTGGCAATATCGAATTTGTAAAAACGAATATGGTTTGTCCTCCTTCAATGTATCACTTAGTGTATGCGCAAAACCTTCATCATTGGAAAAACCTTGTATGAATCGTCAACATTTTTTTCCTCCTAATCCTGTTATTCTTTAGCCGTCTGTTCGTTTGCTTTATTTACCAAATCAAACAGATAGTACTAGTGCTCCATATTTTATTTGTTATAATTCTTCTCGATATAATCATATATTTCCAATAACTCATACAGTTGATGGTTATTCATGTCGAGGTCGAATAGATTTTCCATAAGTGAATTACAATGGTGTTGATTTAAATGTTAAATTTTATACTCAATTACAGGAAACATTTTCTATTTCTTATATATCTTCAACATGTCTGTCAATATCATCAAATTTATTTCAATGTGATGCATCAAATAGATGTATATCAAAATATCGTATCGATGATAGTACAAACGACTGTTATCTTGGATATGATGAAAAAGTAAATGATAGATGTCAATTAAATTTAAATTATACATTTCAATGTGAAACATCATCAACTAAATGTATCATTTTGTTTACGTCATAGAGATTGGTCCGGTTTTTATTGTCATATCACATCATCTCTAATATGTTCAAAAGGATCTGAATTAATTCATGATAAAATGTATTTGTCCGCTAGGAAAATTAGGTAAAAATTGTTTTGCCTCATTTAATTCATGCAAAGAAATTTCATGTTTACATGCTGATAAATGTATAACATTAGATTTAAAAGGATATAAATATGTTTGTATTTGTTCAAATGAATATTATGGTAATTTATGTCAATATCGTGTTGCTAGAGCATTAATCAATATAAAAAATTTATTTCATAATAATCTTATTCATTCTGTACCCGTTGTTGTTATCTATTTTGTTAATGTTTATAATAATATGGGTGTAACATTATTAATTCAAGATATATTGGTCTATAGAAATGTTCCATTTAATCAAATTTTATTAAATTTTTATGAAAAATATTTATTTATCACAATTTATATTTGTTCAAATATATTTTGATACTAGTACTATCTAGAAACATCCGTTTCTTTTGGAAAAAGATCATGTTCTTGTGAAGGAACATCTGTTGACGAAAAAACATGATTTTCTTGTGGAGAAACATAACAGGAACTTCGTTTTTTTTTCCTGAAGAAGGCGATGCATATCCTTGAAAAAAATTAAATTCTTGAGGACGGAGAGGGTACACCACAGATCGAACCGGCACCGGCGGCCGGGCGGTCCGGTGGAGGATTCTCTACTGGCCGGTCTAGGAGAATCTTGATTTTATAGGGCTCTACTAATCTTATCTCTTTTTGATGGGAACAATGTCAACAGATGCGACGAGGATGACAATAGCTGTTTTCGTGATGATGATACTGACGAATGAAAAATGTTACTATCGTGGAAAATGATGAAGCAAATTTCACACATAAATAGAGACATCAACCTATCAGAACTAAATACCTTTTCCAAAACTCAATATTTTGAAGCGTTTTCCTTAAAAAATAACTTCCAAAAATCCAGATTTGCGTTCTTCGTAGATAACTAAACGAGTCCTATCCAACTATGACGAAGAAAGCGAAAACAATGTTTGCTGGAACTTTGACTTGACGTTACCTCAAAACTTTTAGATATTCGAGAAAATGAGTTTTCGACCAACGGAATTAGTTCTAGAAGTCGCTCACAGTGATTTTCTGATTTTCTATAGCGGACTACCTCTACTGTGAAAGTCTCATGTTTGCATGCCTTTTTCTGGATGAGCAATAAGATTTTCGCCGTATTGCTGATAGACAGAAGGACAGCCATTTTTGGTTGTATAACTCTTGCTTTCAGCCAAGTGAACAAAAAGGGCAGATTGATGCTTCAGCTATAGTTAGTATTCCTATGAATTTCTTTACATAGTCATGATAAAGTAAGTGTATGTATTTGGATGATCGTGATAAAATAAGTGCTTGTTTGCTGTTATAATAATAAAAATATATATCTCACCTTTAATATATAACTTTTACTTACCTTTACAGATTGAGTCATTGAATAAACATCACCTATCTCTTTTTGTTATTAGTTATTGTTTTGAATCAGCTTTTTTTTGAGGTTACTGGCCTGCCAGAAGAAAACAAAACACAAAATACAATCTCAAAAAATACAACTGAATCTCAAAATAATCGCTTACAACTGGAGCTGTGATTCTTACAGCGCTCATGATCAGGAACTAGTGAAAAGACACTTTTTGTTTATTTTAGACTCATTTATTTACAAAAAGTGAGACATAGCTTATGGATTTAAATGTAAATGAATTAACGTCGTCATCATTATTAAACGATAATAGCAAAACATTAGTGGCTGATAGGAAAAAATCGAATGAAATGGAATTGAAATTTGATGATAATGATGCTGAAAAAAAATCATCTGCATCATCAGAATCAGCAATTCTGATGAGTATGATTCGTGGTTATCAATTATCACAAGTACTTTATGTTACAGCACAACTTGGTATAGCTGATATATTAGCTTGTCATGATCGTATGAACATCAATGAACTATCTAAACTAACTGATACACATGCACCATCACTTGAACATTTACTTCGTGCATTGATTCATGTTAACATATTTAGAGTAGATGAAGATGGTTATTATTATTCAACATCCTTAAGTAAATTATTAGAAATGAATTCATTAAGATCAACTGTTCTCACATGGGTTGAACCGTGTCTTTGTCGAACATGGAGCTCATTATTGAATAGTATTAAAACAGGTGAATCATCATTCGAACGTTTATATGGAATGAATTTTTACCAGTATTTAGGACAAAATCCAAATATTAATTGTATGTTCAATGAATGTATGGCATCTGGTTCACGACATGAACAATTTGTACAAATTTATGATGGTTTTTCTAATGTGAATTGTGTTGTTGATATTGGTGGTGGAATTGGTAAATTACTTATCAGTTTATTAACAAAACATAAACATTTAAGAGGAATATTATATGATTTACCTCATGTAATCAACACAATTAATTTACAACATTTAGATAAATCAGTAGCTGATCGATTTACAATTATTAGTGGTGACATGTTTAATAATATACCAATTGATGGTGATATCTACATTATATCAAATATTTTTATGGATTTAAACGACGCCAAAGCGCAAATTCTATTACGTAATTGTCGTCAAGCAATGAAAAATGGTAAATGTTTATTAATCATTGATGTATGCATGACATCGTCTACTGATGTTAGCACAGATGAATTATGGAAAGAATTATCTAATTTACATATGCTTGTTCTTCTTGGTGGTAAATTTCGTACACAACTAGACTTTCAAACATTACTGGAAAAGCAAAACTTCAAATTAAATAGAATTATACCAATAATGAATAGCCTTGTGCATGTAGGTAGTATATTAGAATGTTTTGCAACATAAAGATCTTTTATTTATAAATAATACTCTTATTGTTTGCACAACATACACAAACCAGCTTCGCTTACAAGACTTGTAAATGAAAACTATAAAATAATGTGTATGTGCAATGTTTTAACTAATTTAAAAATAAAATATATTAATGTAAAATTCGGTCGATTGTTTTAAACAATCAACAAGCAAACAAGCACTTACTTTATTATGACTATGTAAAGAAATTCATAGGACAAGTAATACTAACTGTGGCTGAAACATCAATCTGTCCTTTTTGTTTGATTGGAAAAAAATTTTGATAATCAAATTAATGTTTTTACTGTAGCACTTGTTGAAGAGTTGTATATTTAAAAAAAAGTGAAATACATTTGGCATGTCAGTATCCCAATTAATTAAAGCATAATTAGTCCTTATTGAAAATTGGGCTAATTTTAATTAGAAAGATTGAGAAAAGAATAATTATGTTGTAATCTAGCCCTTTTTCAGTCACAGACATGTGTGTTGGTGAAAGCGTAGATATATTTAACGATTATGACTCATTGTACGAAACTCATGACCGTCTTTTTTATGAAAAGCTTTCTATTGACTATCTCCCTTTTTGCTATGCATGTACAACTTATACCATATAAATCACATTCTTTCTATATCCAAAAAGCTCTATGAAATCAATACATCATGATATTTGTTTTCTCCACTTTTTTCTTGACAATCGAACTTTTGTTGCTTTTGAAATCATGATATCCTAATAAAATCATGCAAAACTCGTTAGACACCAAAAGGCACGAAATAGCTTCCGTTGAGATCGACTTCCTCTTGAATTTTCGATTTTTCAATTGTATTCGACTAATCACCTCGAAGATAAACTTACGCTTTATTAGAGTTTAAAAGAACTTCTTATAGCGATACGTTACTGAATATAATATACCCATAAGTAGGTTTTCCACTTTATCTACAATAATATGCCTTTTCTTCTGAGGAAGTCCAATGATAATAGATTCCAATAACTGTTCTAGAACTAACTTTACATTCTTTAGTTCTTTTTTCTTAATAGGAAAAGTTTCAAAAAATATGATATTATTGCCCTAGAGAATCAATTTTAAGCAAAAATGTTAAGGATGTTGTGAGAATCTTATCAGACTCTTATATCAATACTCGGAGAAAACATGTTCAATTGGATGAACAATGGGAAGTGTATATAACTAGATTAATTCAGATGTACAAAACAGAAATGGAAGAGAAAATGCAACTACGTGATGGAAAGATTAAAGATGGTTCTGAAGTGCATTTTCTGCCTCCTTCTGCACTCTCGAAAACAAGTGCTAAACCAAGATTTTTATTGCTTCCACAACACCAAGAACACGTCGAATCGTACTACAACTCGAAACTGGCAAGTGTTCCTCAACAACCAACGCAAGCAAGAGTCGTAAGTCCGTTTCTCAGCACTTCACAGGATTTATGTAGCTGACCAGAGAAGGTACAGAAAACTGGTATGATCTCGAGATGAAACATTATTATGACTGCTCCTTACCTAAACCACAACGACTCATCGTCTCTTCCACAACATCAGCGGTCTCTGTTCAGAACGTCTTTATACTGCAGACGCCACTTGTCCCTCACAGTTACGATGGGATTTTATCATCTCATAAAGTGGAAAATTTCATCGAACTCTCCTCGAACACATTCAAATCCGTTTCATCTTGTCCTGAAATACACGATCCTGTCTTATCGTGCACTTATATATCAAAAGCATATCCATCCTGCTCTCAGCCACTCGAACTGAATGACTATTCTCCTCAGTCACCAAAATCAATGGCCCGTCTATTGCAGTAGTTGAGCAAAAGGACTTTTTTCCTCGTACGTCAATAGAGGATCACTATTCTTCAAAAGTAACTACACCGGATGACAAACATCTCCCGTCATCATCAGATTCTATTTTACTAGCAACAGATCTGAAAACCGCTGAAATTGCAATCCCTGAATCTCTACCGGTAGTTACGCGAGAAAAAGGATTCGATCGGGCGAATTCGACCTGGATTCTAATACTTACCCTCTAACGGACTACCAATATGGTTTTGCTATTTCAGAAATAAGGACAAAATCGAACCTAAAATCGATATTCTCCTGTTCAGCGCCTTTGAATTCCTTAAAAAGACATCTTTCTTTCATAGTGCGTTAACATCCATTTGACACCCAAAACTTTGTACACGTTTCGCTTTTGTGCGCTCGCACCTTCATGGACAACGAATACATTCATACGTTAAAACACTTTTTTTCGATTTTAATGCATTAACAACATGTA